GGGGGGGGGGGGGAAGACTTGACGGAGCCTCACTTTAAAAACGAAAAAATGAAAAAAAATTTAAAAAATTTAAAAACCCACAAAAAAACCACAAAACAAACAAACAAAAAAAAACAAAACAAAAAAACCAACACTTTGTGATTGGCTGGTTGATAAGTACCAGTGTGTTCTGGCACATGTAACTGCCCACGTGTGCTTGTTTCTGTGTGAGTGCGTGTGCACATGTTTGTGTGTGTGCATTTTTTTCTCTCTATATATAATCTTGAAACGCTGCATTGCTGATGGTCTACGGGCTGGCTGGCCATCTGCATGTCTTGATTCTGAAAACAAGACAGGCATGGTGGAGTCCCTGTGGCTGAAGCAGAATCCAGTTGGGCTGGATTAAAATTTGTCAGTAGGGTTTTTTTTAAATTCATTTTAGCAGGGTGCTATCTCAAGTCTGCAGATCATATTGAGTGGGTAGTTGCTTCCTAGCCCTTGTTCTAACCCTGTGGTAGAGCAGAACACTGCCATATCCAGAGGATTTGGTGAGAGGGGAGCCAATGTTGTCTTTTCAGTAGCAGTGTATTTATTTATTTATGTCTGCATGTGGGGTTTTTGTACTGAGTGAACCCTAGAATGTTTGTTATATAATGCAAGCCATTTTTTTCTTCCAGCGAGGGGAAAAGAGGAGGAAAGAAGACATTGCCATTTTTTGTGCGGCTAAGACAAATGTTCTTACTCAGTCTTTCACAAGCTTCAGTACCTTTAAAAAAAAAAAAAAGTGTCTCTTTTCTCCCCCAAACCTAAATAGGCACCCATACTCATTCTTGAAGACTCCGTCAAAAACTTGAAAGTCCAGCCCAACAAAATTAGCCTTTTAATTGATTTACCGCTTGTATTAAAACTGACAAAAACTAATTTGTGTCAGCAAATTGCTGGCCGGCCTGTCTCATCTCCTGAAAGCACATGCAGCTAACTCCTTTCTACGTCCTTCATGGTGAGCGTTACCTGTGCCAGGCCTTGGTGTATTACAGCGCCAGACCATCACTGACAGAAACGTTTACTTACGAATGTTCTTAAACCAGTGTGTACTTCAAACGTTTCCTTTTGTTTCTCTGTTGTGTTTTTTCCTGTGTACGTGGTTTTGCTTAGGGAGGTATATAACTAGCAAAGACTTTTTTTTAAAAAAAAGTATTGCACCTTTTTGTTTTTTGTTTTTACTTTTTCTGTACTGTTGCTTTTTAATTTCTGTATTTAAGGAAAGGTTTGGGGTTTTTTTAGCATCAGTGTAGTAGTACTCTGGGCAGGATAGGGGTGACTTGTAATCCACAGTGATAGCCAGTGTGTGCGTGCATGTGTGCGCTGGGAACAAAACTTTTAAGACCTGTTGTTGTGAAAGAGTTGTAGCAGACTTGAAGGAACATCCCTTGACACAAAGTGGGAAGTCTTTTGGGGGGTTGGGGCCGGGAGAAGAGGGAAGAGAGATGCCGGTACTTTTTCCATAAGTGCTCAGACTTCCACGTGGTGTTGTCTAGCTGTTACACCGTCTAACAAAGTGCCGACATTCTGTACCAGCACATACCTGTCCATTCCAACCCTCAGCGGGAGCAGTGCTCGGGCTTTATTACCTGCTGTGGGGGGAGGATAGGGGACTCTCTCTTTCTTCAGCGTTTTCATTGAAGGATATGACAATGTCTAATATGTTTAACTCTAAGCATGGGTTGGGTGGGGAGAAGCAAAAGCAGATTCAAGTAAGGGTTTTTTGGGCGTGTGTGTGTGTATGCCTGTGTGCTGGGGGTGGGAGGGAAGGGCTAGGGAGTTACATGGCTTTTTTTAATTCGCCCTTTCTATGTAAACCCAATGTCACAAGGAAGACTGACTGAGGGAAATGCTGCATATACACATGCCTGTAGATTTGTATGCAAAGTGTTATGTGACAAAAAGTATGAGTAGGTTTGTATTTGTTTAGTAAACTGGAGTGTGCAGCATACTCTGGCCCCTTCTGAATATACTTTTCTATCACGTCTCCTCCTTCATCCATCCCACCATGTACAAAGAAACAAAATGCTCTCTTCCAACTCCTAGCTAGTGCCCCTCACATGCACACATCCATAAAGCTTTGTTTCTGCTAGTCTCTGCTTGAAGACCAGCCGTGCTCAGACATGCAGAGCGGGTTCTTAAAAGTCCTGTGCCAGCAGTACTTCTTAGTGAAGCACCTTTGGCCTGAGTAAGCCAGTATCCGTTCTGTCACATGATTTGCTATACATGCTGGTTCATTGCTGTGTTCCACCCTCACTTCTCTCTCCCAGCCTGCCCTAAGGCCCCTTTTCCTGCACTTTGGGCTAGTTGAGTTCATGCGATACTACGGTGAAAGCCGGGTGCTAGAGCCCCTCTTGTTTACAAGACATAATGAGGGATTTGAAATATTTAAAAAGAAAAGCTAAATTGTTCTTCCATTGTAAGCTTAAAGGGAAAAAACCTAAAATGTACAAAAAAAAAAAAAGACCAAAAAGTGCATATATATATTTTAGATGAAGACTAACTCTGGGAGCATTTAACAGTGTTTTTATTTTAACATTTTATTTTCCTGCTTTAAATTTGCAAGCATTCTCAGGAATTCTAGGGTAGGAAGCCAGTTTTTGAAGATGGTTTATTTAACCTTATCCTAGATAGATGGCTGTTTCTTGTTGATAAACTTTTACAAGTTCCTGAATCTTCAAAATGTTTGAAAGTTTTTACTTTAAAATAAAAATGCTAAAAAAAATAAATAAAAAGAAAAAGAAAAAAAGATAGAATCTCCAAATGTTACTGTCAAGCGGGGGGATCAAGAATTTTAAAGACTGTATAAATTAAAATACATTAAGAAAACTTCTCAATATCAACAACAGAAATTCATTGTAATCTTAAACAAGTTGTGGGAGAAGAAGGGTTATCATTTATAGTGCTTTGTTACTCATGCAGACGTGTGCATTTGCATGGAGAAGTGTGTGAATGGAAATCTATCACTTTGTTCCCTCTCGATTGAAACTAACCGAAAATACTCTTCCAAGCACCTTTTTAAAAGTGAAACTATAAACCTAATTAAAATGCAGTATAGTTTAACTGAAAGAGTCCTCAGTTAGGAAAACTAGCAGGAAATACATTATGGTGCTTCTTTAAACCACTTTTAAGTAGTTCTAAAGAAAACCAGTGCTGACAGAATACCCAATAATGAAGCAGTTTTATTATCCTGCCTTTTTCAGTACAGAAGAGAGAAAATATGGAAAAACTCCAGTAAAATGTACATTAGAGATCAGCTTTCCAGTTTTCAGCTATTTGGTCAGTTTATTCCCCACTTGGAGATTTGCTGCTTGCTTTTCTTCACCCACCCCATCTCCCAGTCTTTCCATTTTGTTGTATATGAGGGAAATACCTGTTAAACTCTTCTATTCACCCTGTTGCTGCTGGCTGTCAGAGCTTACAGTCTTGAACTTCAGAGTTCGGTGTTGGGATGGCCAACTTCTGTCTCCCAGCTCTAAGGGTCAGGGGTTTACTCCGCCTGAAATGGCTAGACTCAAACCACAAAAACCGCGCTAGTGCCTTTTTACATGCACCCACATGCCCTACAGTAGGGGAAGGGAGGGAAGACGAGGCAAGGTTGAGGCAGTATGGCTACTGCATGGAATAGATGTACCTGTTCTTAAGGAAAAAAAGAACATGTTACATCAGCATGTCGTGCAATGAGTTACATAACAGTAGTTGAGATAACTTTTATTATTTAAAAAAAAAAAAATCAGATGCCAAATTCCTGTCCTTTTCATATCAGTTGCCCAGTGTTTTCCTGTTGTGCTGCGTGTACATCTGACTGTATACATGTGTGTTAAAAATAATGCATCAATAATAATACAGTAATTACAACACGCTTAAATAAATCCTGTCATGGGCCAGTAGAAGGAGAGTTTATTTAGGGAGTTTGGGATTTTATTTTATTTTATTTACTCACAGGGAGAATTTCTGGGTGTTTCGCCAGAGGCTGTGTTTTATCAAATCAGCGGTATCCTAAAAGAGAGGAAATCATAGGATTTAGTCAAAAAGAGCCCAGGAACTTGATAGTCACTTGAAGGTGGGTTGTGACTGACTGCTGAAGAGTTGGTAGTCTGGAGCTTCAGCGGTCTGGTGGGTCCAAACCTATTGTAGGACAACAGTCTGCTCCTCCTTTCTCTAAACACGCAGGCCTGCAAATATTAGTGACTGTCTCCTCAGTGACAGTTTTCCTACATTGTTAAAGTAACATTTATCTTACTGCTTTCCAACCACAGTTGACAGTTCTGTTCCTCTCCAAATTATAAGTAGCTAATCACGATGTTGCTAGTATGGCTTAGTCATGGCACTCCTAACCATTGCAAGTGATTTCTCAGCATTGTGCTAACCAGACTCATCTTCTGGGGACCACTGTCACTTAATGTTGTAAATATTCTGCTACCATTTGAGCTAATAACAGCA